TCGTGTAACTTGTTTCTGGGTTTTACTCACCAATCACAAGGCTTGGCGACCATTCCAAGACTAGACGAAGATGGCGAGCCTCGCGGGTCCGGACCGATGGTCTTCCAGGTTCTATCCTTGGGCCGGCTCCGTGGCCGGGAATTAAACTGTTGGCGATGTCGTTGAGTCTTGACCGTTGGGCGTCTTTTTTGCCCGGCTCAGCTCCACGTGGCGGATCATGAGCTCAGAAGCTTGCCACCTGTGTAGCGCAACTATAGTGGCTTTGTCTAAAACTTCTTGATGCTGGGCTAGTTCCTTTGTATTTGCTGTGAAATATCGGCAATTTGAGGAGAAATCAGCAAACTGTTGCGCGATTGACCATTGTGAAACGCCAACACGAACTCACGTGACAATGGCGTCCAAGCAGCGTGTTGTTTGAGCGTGACTTCCATGATTGCAGCCTCAACACTCTTCCACCCGTCGTCATCCTCCATGAAATACACGGCTTGCGCGAGACTCGCAGTACGGATCATCTCTGGTGATGGATTCAGGAATGATGCTTGACGCTTTCTGAGAATTTGGATGACATGCTCGTTCTGTCTCTTTGCCCGATCGCAAGGTCGTCTACCATTTCCACACTTCTCTTCACTTTGGGCATGATATAGGATGACGTCGACCGTACCCTTGGGTAGCTTTCTTCAAGCCTGGACAGGCAAGTGCTTATCCAGGGCTGCTGAGAGCGGGCAGCTGACTGCAATCGTGCCGGGAGAGACTGCAGATACGGGGGTTGTTCAGGTAACATTTAATAACCGGGAAGCCCAAAAGAAGCAGCTCACAAGCGCGAACAACCCGGATTAACATCACGATCGGCAAATCTCCAGCAATGGAACGTGAGGTTCAACTTGCGGTAAAGCACTTTCGAGCCGCTGCAAGGCACATGCTGTGCCGCCTGTTCCAGGGTCCACCGCATCATATTAATGGTGATTGGAGTAGATAAGAAGGAAGCTCCCTAAGTTATGCGAGGCGTGACGGATGAAGCTATCAACGGCTACATCGTTCTGGAAGTCCGGCCGCCGAAGACTTATCTAGGACGCGTGCACATCGTGCTTTGTCCGCGTCGTTCGCCATCATGACCTACTCCGGTGCCTTTTCCACGTCGACAATTTCGATGGCACGCTTCCTTGCCCTAAGCAGTCTTGTAAGCCTCGCGCTGACCGACAGCGCGACTTTCGATCCGCTGATCTTTGTTGACCCGCTCATTGGCGCCAGCAACGGTGGCAATGTTTTCCCAGGCGCCTCTCTCCCTTACGGCATGGCTAAAGCCGTCGCGGATACTAACAGCGGCAGCAACCAAGGCGGCTTTACATTGGACGGAGCCAACGTGACCGGCTTCAGCGTCATGCACGACAGCGGCACTGGCGGGAGTCCGAGCCTAGGAAACTTCCCGCTGTTCCCTTACACAGCCTGTCCCGGCGGCGACGTCAACGAGTGTGTCTTCCCGAAGAAGAGTCGCGCCCGGTTCGGTGCCTTTGGCAACGACAGCGTCTCCGCAAAGCCCGGGGCTTTTGGTATTACCTTGAACAGTGGCATTCGAGCGGATATGACCACGACGCAGCACGCGGCGCTCTTCAAATTTACATTTCCATCAAATGATGCTGGCGGACATCTGGCGCAGCCGCTGATACTGCAGGACTTGTCAGATCTGGCGGACTCGAGGCAAGATAACGCCACCATATCGGTCGACGGCAAGAGCGGGCGCATTACGGGTAACGCGAGGTTTCTTCCGAGTTTCGGGAGCGGGAACTTTGTACTGCACTTCTGCACCGACTTTGCAGGTGCCGACATACTCGACAACGGCATCTTTGCCAACAGTCGCGCAAGCACGGCGGTTAAAGATCTCAAGATCTCGCGGTCGATCAACGGATATCCGCTACCCGGCGGCGCCTTCGTCAGATTCAAGTCCGCAGACAATCCGATACTGGTGCGGGTAGCGACAAGTTTCATCAGCGTTGAGCAGGCCTGTTCCCACGCGGAGGTTGAGATACCAGATTTCGGGTATGACGCTGTCGTTGCAGCCGCGACAGATGCTTGGAGAAAGAAGCTCAGCCCGATAACTGTGGCAACAGAAGGAGTAAACCAGTCCTTCGTGACGAACTTCTACAGCGGTATCTATCGGACCATGATCAACCCGCAGAACTACACCGGCGAGAATCCGCTCTGGTCAAGCAGTGAGCCGTACTTTGACTCGTTCTACTGGTATGTCCCGGCGAGCTATGGATATGTCGTGCCAGCAGCCAACGACTAATCTTCGATAGCCTTTGGGACTCGTTTCGATCTCAGATTCCATTCCTTACCATTCTTGACCCGTCCGCCGTTGCTCAGATGATTCGCTCCCTCATCGACACATATGTTCACCAAGGATGGCTTCCGGACTGCCATATGAGCTTGTGCAAAGGTTATACGCAGGTGATTGTGCCGAGTGGTCTGCAGCACGGGAAGGACGGCTAACTAAGACCGACGAAGGGCGGTTCCAATGCAGATAACGTGCTTGCGGACGCATTTGTCAAGGGTATCAAGGAGGGAATCAATGTATGCAATCCACCACAACGACAGTGGCGTGACGCTGACATGTTTCCTCAGTGGGACAAAGGTTACGAAGCAGTCGTGAAAGATGCCGAGGTCGAGCCATACGACTGGTCGAACGAAGGGCGAGGGGGTCTCGATAGCTGGAAGGCGTTGGGATACATCCCAGTGCAGGACTTTGATTACAAGGGATTTGGAACGATGACTCGGAGCATCTCGCGGACGCTTGAGTACAGCTACAACGACTTCTGCATCTCCCAGATGGCGGAACGGCTGGGGCACACGGCTGACGCAGAGAGATACACAGCCTCCAGCGGCAACTGGCAAAATCTGTATAAGGCGGATGAGCCGTCGGCGTTTTGGAACGGGACAGACACTGGCTTCGTGGGCTTCTTCGAGCCGAGGTTCCTGAACAAGACTTGGGCGTATCAGAACCCGCTCAACTGCAGCAACCTGGATAACTTCAGCGTTTGTTCGTTGCAGAACACCGGCAGAGAGACGTTTGAGAGCAGTATCTGGGAGTACGGATTGTGAGTCATGGCAATATTAAACAGCCCTACCTTCGGATCACTGACGTGTGTAGCTTTGTTCCCCACGATCAAGCGACTCTGATGACCCTCTACGGCGGACCCTCCGCCTTTGTCCGCAGGCTAGACTACCTCCACGACCAGAACATAACCTACATCGGCAATGAGCCTGCCTTCTTGACCGTCTTCCAGTACCACTACGCCGGCCGTCCAGCACTCTCGGCCAAGCGGGCGCACTTTTACATACCGTCTTTCTTCGCTCCCACCCCTGAGGGCCTGCCAGGCAACGACGACAGCGGCGCAATGGGATCCTTCCTCGCCTTCGCCATGATGGGCCTGTTTCCCAACCCTGGCCAGGATGTATACTTAATCACGCCCCCGTTCTTCGAAAGCGTAAATGTCACACATCCCCTCACCGGCAAGACAGCAAGGATACGCAACGTCAACTTCGATCCGAGCTACCAGAACATCTACATCCAGAGCGCCACACTAGACGGGGCGGATTACAGGAAGAACTGGGTCGACCACAGCTTCTTCACCGAGGGCAAGGAGCTGGTGCTGACTCTGGGGCGGAACGAGAGCAGCTGGGGCACGAGGGTGCAGGACCTGCCGCCCAGCTTGGGGAAGTATGCTGGGTTTAACGGGACGTACAGCGCCCGTGGGATGCGGGCGAGAGCTGCGACCAGATACGATGGGGGGTTCGGCGGCGCTAATCCGGGGAGCTACAAGATTGGATTATGATCTTTGTCTTCGTCCAGCGGCGGCGTTTGGGGCTGCTGGTTCTAGGGGAGCGCATAGAGACAGTAAAGCGGCGGAGAACTGAAGCATGCTCCTGTTTAGACGTGGTCGTTTCTGTTTATCAGGTCGTTCTTAACTCGTTGTTGTCTCGGGGATATCATGACGCAGGAGGACAAAATGCCTGCGACATTCCTGAACACCCCAGAAGGCTCTTCAGGTGAACTGGACCGACCGAGGCTCCCTGGACACAGTTCAAACCTGTTTCAGGGATCAGAATGCACAACCTCATAATATGTCAGACGTCTTACATTCTAAGCGGAAGGTCTGCAGCAGAATATAGGCCCATCCTCTGGCACTTACTTATAAGGAGGACTTCATACACATATCAATTCATCCCAGCGCATCAGTTTGGAGACTCAAGGCCCCGAATTGTCGCAGCTAGACTTGGAGCTCAAGAAGCTCCGAGACGGGATTACCAACGTGAAGAAGGGGGGAGACATTTGGAAGAACTTAATAGATGGATGGAATTGATCTAGATAGTGCCCGAAGGGTACCAGAACTTGGAGATTTTTACATGTCTTGTGGACGACGCGGGAAAGGTTACACGTAGAAGGAAGGGCTAGGGAATATTGAAGAAGATATAATAGCCTCAAAATATGAGTTATCAACTGCTTTTGCACGAGCATTAACAACGGCCTGACTTACTGCTTCCTGCTCGGCGCTTGATGGAGCTTCACAAGGAAGGCTTTGTAGAATACCGAGTCTTTCCAACAGTTGCTGTCGCCTTGCGCCGGGGAATACGTCCATGGGCACGCTTTAGACCAGACCCTGTTCCCAGCCAGTCTTCCCGTTTTCTTGTTGTGTGATTGGGATGCTTTGCCATCGTCGATCGTCTATATATGCTAGCAATAAATCATAGGATGATTCACGAACGAGATGATACAAGAAAGATATCTGTTCCAGCCTAGTGGTCCGAGCTAACGTATATGTCTCTCAGATAACTATACTTAAGGGAATCACTGGCTTCAGGCCTGTCGATTGATTGACGTCAATCAGGGTACACGGTCTACACTTTGTCGAAGGCAGACCTAGAAAACTTCCTGGCTCCACACTGAGCTTTATAAATTCAATTATCAGCACGGGACAGCAATAGCCGCAATAAGCGGTCCTGACTCCTCCATAGCTCAGTTGGCTAGAGCGTCTGACTGTTATCGTCCTCGCACGAACGCAAATCAGGAGGTCCTAAGTTCGAGCCTTAGTGGGGGAGCGCAGACTTTTTGCCCTTTGATAGGGGAGTGAGTGTCTATTTACTAAGCCTTCGCGCATGTTTCAAGAATCAATGAAATGCTGTTCTAGCTGTTGGGGCCATTCTTACACATTTTTGATACGGCTGCTTGCTGTTTGGGCTTAGAATTGTGTTTGCGTTCGTAGCCCCACAAACATGATGGTCGACACGCTGCAGGAGCAACTCCTTTTCCTTGTCCCCTCGCCATCGTTTTAAACTTGTAATATATTCGCTAGGTCGGAATGTATAAATGTAGGCGAAGAGAAGTAAAGGTCGAGCGTATGCAGATTGTTGCATCTCATCGTATTTCACTTTAGGCTTTCGCACCTGCAGTGTGCCGCACATCGATGTATATGGTTCTCCAAGAAAGCCCTCTGGCGTCTGAATACACCATTGACATGGCCTAGCTTGCCAGAGGGTTCCTCGCCGTGTGCGCGTCCTCTGGTAAAACCTCAAACGGCCACACGCCTTTGTGTAAAAAGATCTGTAGAGCTCCTTCAGCGCCAGCTGCGTCGCCGTCCCCCAGGCTAGAACCGGACAAAGGGCCTCAACGACGTGACGCAATATGGCACGATAGATACTTAGGCAACCTGGATGCGACTTGACGAGCAAGCAAGCTGACCAACGAAGGCGGGCGCAGCTACGCGTCCTGCTTAGGGGAACTCAAACGGCAGGCGTCCCGGGGACGAGGTAGGGCGTCGAATAGTATTCCACGCCATATGGCTGATCCTTGTCTCTCTTTAGGATCAGAACGGACAGCAACGAAATCGAGCTTTCGAGGAATGATAGGCTGAAACTGTGAGAGTTACACTTCCCCGCTTCTGTTGCAAATGTCTCCTCGGTATTTCGCCTTGCAGGCTGACTTGTGCTACCCGCACCGACAATCACGCGGGTTAGCGACCAGACGCACGCACAACTGTGACAAAATCCGCGCAATGTCGTCCCATCTGCGAAGCTCCCAACTATGTCGCCTCCTTCTGCCTCCTCCCAGCGACCCTCCGCTTCACTACCTGGAGTATGGCAGCAGCCTGCTTCTGCCTCCACTCACAGTCTTCGGCGAATTCGCAGCTTCGACATTTGTAAGTCTCCTCGATCATAACGCCGTCGGGAGGCCGCTTCCCCTCCCACCACTCAAGGTCCCGCTGGAGGTAGAGGTCGAGAGCTCGTGGATCGACACGCATCAAGTTCGTGCCGAAGAGTATTCCGGCTTCCTCATCGTCCGGATCTTCTACCCCGTCGGCGTTTCGCTTGGCCCGTTTCCGGTATTCAACATTAACCAGCGGGCCGAGGGAGTCTGCTCCATTCGGGAATGTGAGGCGCAGCTCAGTTTCTAGAAGCGGGATCAGTTGCCTGAGGGTCCCGTACCGTATTAGATCCAGGTTCGAGGAGGCGGGCTCGTGGCTCGATGACGCTGGCTCGGACCGAGCGACTGCGTCGTCGACGTTATCTTCAAATATTTCGTCGTGTAAGCTCCCGATCTGGGCAACGAAGGTGTCGGAGAATGGCTCGTCCGGTTCAAGGCCGTAGCGACGCAGTACCCGTAGAAAGTCCAGCCGACTCGCAGCCATCTCGGAGAGGAGACGGTGGTAGAGAAAGAGTTGGATCATTGTTGGACGCAGAGCCGCGCCGGAAGGTATGTGACGCGAAGCGCGGGTCTTCACGTCGGTGATGAATACTTGCTTGTTCTGGGGCGTCGTGGAAGAATGAAAGAATGTGGTGATCTTCTGATCGCTCGAGTTCCCCTTGGACGGCTTCTGACTGCCCTGACTGCCCCTGACCTCCTCCATGGACTCTGGGTCCGGATTTTCGTAGCTCAGGTTGTCTATCACCCCGTTCACGAGATGGCCCTCTACGAAGCCCCATACCTCGAGCTCCCTGGTCATGCCCTGGTCCCGCAAGGTGCGGAGACCTTGTATCAGATTCCAGAGCTTCAAGCCAAATGCGTCCTCCTTCTTCGCGATTTGTATCGTGACCGTAGTATAGATCTCGTCTTCGAGGTTTTGATGTACCTTGGATCCACCCTTCATCGCCGACGTCCTGGTCTTCTTCCCTCCGGGGAGTTTTGTAAGGGTATAATAATATTGTAGCTCGCACCAAGCGCCGGCGACCAGGTCGGAGACAGAGAAAGGCTTCTTTGGGAAGCTGCGGAAGCGAATGAGAGGCGACAGCCTCTGATGTCCTTGATCGAGGCTCGTGTCACTCTCAAGAGCTGAATTGTCGGGTTTTTCGAAGGCATTGGACAAGGCACGGCTCACTAAACGCTGAAGTCAGTCAGACCTGACCCACGACTGGAACCGCAGCTTATGGTTGGCTTACAGTCTGGATACCGTATGTCGCCGACCTGGACAGGTTGAGACATACGATGCTCTGCCTCAGCCACAAGGGCCGTAATCTCGTCGTCGGCGTCCGGAGACGGCTCGGCGCCGGAGGTAGCCAAGCTCGGTAGCAATGACGGTCCATTGTGATGGGTGGCAAAGACAGCCGTCGGGTCTGATTTTGTAGCGAATGCAGCAGCGTAAGCTTGAGAATCGCCTGGCCCTGTATCTTGATTGGGAGCTTCGCATGAGTTTCTGGATGAAGCATCAGCGACAAGAGTTTCGAGCAAGTCTTCCTCCTCAGCCGTTAAATCAAAGCCGTAGTCGCTACCGGCATCTGTGTCGTTACTATAAGAATAATTGTATTTGGAAGCTAACTTTGTAGCCATCTCAGCAAGAGTGAAAGCGTTGATAATGTGAGGCGAGCATACTAGAGTACCAAAAGAAGTGCAGCGAGGTTGAAGTCATGGTTGAATGCAGTTTAGTATGTATCATAGCCGTTTATCGAGTCAAGTCAAGGCGACCTTTGCCCTTTAGGCAGCCTGCCCCGCGCTTCGACGCGTTGATTAACGTCTGAAGTATCGAGGAAATAGTGCGGGGTAGCTATGACGCGACAGGAGCTCACGTGAGCTTCAGTCTCGGTTAGAGGACATGATCTTTCTATCTAAGGTAGGTCTACCATAAGTACGGAGACATAAAGTCTGCCCTTCGTGGTGTGTTTCAAACAATCATCCAAGTGTGGCCGTGGCGCGTATCACTTAACAGGTAAAGCTTCTTGAATTGACTCAGGCCGCTAGATTGTGTAACAATTTCTCCTACAAAGCTGTCCCTGGTCTTCCCTAAGGAGGAGTCAGGCGGCCAAAGTTTATTCTGATGCCTGGTGAGAGTATCCAACTCTGGTCCCAATGCGCTGAAAGGCTTCCGCGCAACTCCATTTCAGGGGTTGCCAACCACCATGTCCGTAACGCCACCACCATCATTCAACCCTCCGCGCAAAGTTAACATCGTGTCTTTCGTGGCTTTTTTTCCCCTTCTTCTCAAGGCAACAGCGCAATAGAAGTACAGATGTCTTCCATGTCCCTTTTCCCTGAGTTGTGCTATCCTTCCTTTGGGTCGACAATATATCCATTGTTGGTATGATCCAGTAGATTATCCGCAGTCGTCATCAACTACAACCACGACCGCAGCTATCTTTTGTTCTTCCTTCATAGCGGTCCAGGACGAGATGTCTTCTCTACTCCGCCGTCTCCTTCCGTCGTCCACAGGGATTCCAACTTCAACCAAGTCTAAGGACGCTGTGGCAGCGCACCCAGCTGGCTCTCACTCATCGCCTCGAGATGACCCAACCCGCCCACTCTCTCTCATGAACCTCCCGCCTGAGATACACCTCCTCATCAGCGACCAGCTCATCTACCCAGACGCCCTCTCTCTCCGCCACGTGAACCGCCACTTCTACTACCTCGTCGACACGGGTGTCAAGCTCAAGATCGACTGGCTGGTCGAACGCCGGCGTCTGCACCTCGAGTGTCCGAACAACCAGCGGTGTGACCTAGGAAGTGACTTGAGATTTTGTCGGGGAAGTGTTAGGTTTGTTACCTGATCTTTCCTGCTTCTTCACCACGTATAGAGAGGAATTAGACTGATGTGGAATGGATAGACTGCTTATGGAAAGGCGAAGAGAGCACATCGAGTGCGAGTCACGTCCTGGGTTGGGCTGTCTCATCTACGGCACTAGCACCTGTCCGCAGCGCAGGAAGCTGGGCTCGAGACTCAAGCGTTGGCTGCACATCCGACTTACCTTTGAGATGTGGTGGCTTCTATTGGCTCTTGTGCCGATTGTGCTGTGCTGGGTGTGGAAGGCTGAAGCACTCCTCTGACGAAGATGGTTCACTTACCTGGAAAACCTATTGTGGTGTACGCCTGGCGTAAGAGTGTGATGGAGGCTTCTGCTTACGGATGGGCTCACGCCATTGAGCAAGGTGAGCAAAGTCAGCCTGTTAATGTAGTGGTGGCAATTAATACTTGCCGAAGTCTGTCACTGGCACGGTTTGCTTCAACAACGTACTACAAGGAGGACTCGATCGCAGTACACACAGTATCGAGGAGAAGTTTGAAATCATTATGCCAGTCTGTCTAGACTCTCCAACCAAAGGATGCCATATTCCCGTCTATCCACTGCGCCCAATGAAATACCCTGTGATTTACCAACATCCTCTTATAGGTCGTTCATATCCTACGCAAACTCTAAAAAGGAGAAATGACTCATAAGTACCGTACCAGGTCTCCTACTCACCCTTCTCCATCTCAACCTTGAACTCATCCCCCATATCGAACGGATCGCTAGCGACCCGCCTGTTCGCCTGCCGAGCAATGATAAGCCTATCAGCAGGATTGTCGTCCGTGAGATACAACCAATGATGCAAGCGCAACATGTTACCCTCACGGTTCGTACGAGCAAAGGCCTGTAGCTCATAGTCCTTCGTGCGCAGCGGACCGGTCAAGACCTGGTAGTTAGCAGTCTGCAGGTTCAGTCCCGTTCCACCTACCTCGTACGGCGTGACCAGAATCTTCGCGGACCCGGGCGTCAGGGCCTGGAAGTCGTTGGTCATGCGCTGCTTCTCGGACGCTAGGAGATCGGCGTGCAGGAGGACGATCTTGGCGCCCTTG